AAAAATATCATGCATGCAATGCAAAATGTTACTATGTTGATGCACACATTTTATTCTCCTTTGTTAGAAATTTTATTAATATTTATTTTTATTTGAAATTTTGAAGAAAAAGAATTTAATTATATTGAAGATTTTCTATAAATATTTCAATATACTGGTAATATTTTACAAAAAATCTTCTCACCTAGGGATTTCTTAAAGCATCTCTACTCGGAATACTTTTAGAATCTCATCATCGAATAAAATTTCTTTTCTTCTCATTTTTATTACTTATATTTTTAATTTATTAATCAATTTTATTTATTACTTTAAAAAAAAATTTTATTATATTGAAAATTTTTTTATAAATACTCCAATATACTGATAGTATTTTAAAAAAAATCTTCTCACCTAGAGATTTCGTAGATATCACTACTCGAAATACCTTTGAATCTCATCGTCGGATAAAAATTTCCTTTTCCTACATTTTTTATTAGTTTAGTATTATTATTAAAAGATTTATTTTAAAGTTAATAAAATTATAAAAAAGCTTTTATCATATATTTTACTATTTATTTTTTATTGATTAATATTATAAAACAATAAAAATTTATTTTGGTAAATTTAAACATTTTTTACATGCATAAATATTAAGAATAATAATTAAAATAACAAAAATAATATATAAAAAAATCTAAAAAAAATTTTTTTTTTACCTGAATCAGACCTTTGAGGCGGATCCGGTTGGCTTGGTGATTTGGATGCGACTCAATGATTTTTTTTTAGGCAGATTGCTCTTTTTTTTTTTGCAGCCTTTTTTTTTGCAGCATCTCTCATTCATTTTTTTTTCTTCGTTGTTCGGTCGGAGCTCTATTTATAGAGTTTCGACAGTGCCCTGTGCTTAAGGGAATGGCACAGGGCTAGGCATGGGGGTGCAAGCACGAGCCCCATGCCTCTTTTATTTGTTTTTGGCAACATCTGACAGTGGTAGGGTTAGGCAATGGGATGGGTGGTAGAGCATGGGTGGTAGGATAATGTGAGGGGTGGGTGGTAAGGCATAGCGGCAGTGGTGCTGGGGAAGGCACCATTGCCATCCCCGATTTTTTTTTGTTCTTTTTTTTAGTATTTTGTATTTTAATTTTTTTTATATTTTTGTAAAAAATAATAATATTTTTTTTGTCGGACACATTTGATGTCTACAATAAGTATACATGAATTTGTACATAATAATATTACAATAATTTACAAAATAAATATGTATATTTTTAAAAACTAAATAAATAAGTTTAAAAGTATAAAAAAATAAAATCATCAATTTATTATGATATTTTTAAATATTTAATTTGATTATATGATATTTAAATAAGTTTTTTTTATATAAATATTAAAATAAAGTTAAAGAGATGAAAAAAAAAAAAACTTTGACTTCATAATTGTTAAACTTTGGGAGCATAATTGCTTTTATGAAAGTGATTAAAATACTAATGAACTTTAGTTTGAAAAAAAAAAAAAGACAAGATATAGTAAAAAATAGAAAAATCCAACTTTTAAGAATTATTTTGATTAATTTATAAATGGTCAAACAACAGAAAAATAATTTAAAAATTATAAAATATGTTTCACATACTGATTAAAATAAGTTAACATATCAAAATTTATAAAAACCAATTAAAACTAATAAAATAATTAATATTATCTAATATTAAATTTGATATATTTTTTACATTGTATTTTAATATAATTAAAATATATCAATCAATACGATATATACCGAAATAAAATTTACAGCATACAAGCATGCATCATTTTCATCGGATCTGACTGCAACATGCTACGTCTCAAAAATATTTCTTACCTACCTATTCCATGATAATTAATAATATTATTAATCTAACTACTTATGATAAAACAAAAATTGGTCCCAACTATTTTTCTTGTCTCTGCGCACCGGACGAGAGAATATATTATACCAAAACCCAATCCAAATCCAAAACCAGATATAGAATCTGAAATGGTTTTCTTTTTCTTTGTTGGTGAGACGGTTCTGAGGCTTATAAAAGGTTCGGACAGCACCAGGGATCTTTCTATTCTGGGGAAAACATGTGCCACCAGGAAAATTCTAGGGGAAGGTAAGGAAAATCAGAAAAGCAATTCTCATTTAAGTAGTCGATTATTTTGGTGGGGAATTGTCTGAAAAGAAATTCAAAATTGTCTCCTTGTTGATGTAGTTATAAGTCACTGTAAGTAAAGAAGGTCTAAAATTAATTTTCTATTTTACAACTTTGGTTCTTTGAATTGAAATTTTCTTAGGCTTTGGTTAGATTCTACGGCACCTCCATAAAATTAAATAGGGTTCTGGCACCCAACTGCAACAAGGGGATGCATTTGATTAGCACTCTAACAGTATAGTTAGAGGTCAAAACCCCCATTGCAGACCAGAAGGGAAAGATTCAATGAATCATTGAACTTTAAGATCATTGACTCTTTTAATGTAAAATTGAAAAAAAAAAAGAATTTAATTATTGCAATTCACTTTTTTTAATAGGGTAGTCGACTATCATATTTAATTTCATCGTTATTGTTTTTTTTATATCATACAAAATTTTTTTACTTTTAAATTAAAATTAAATTCATAACACTAACATTTCATTTTTTTAATTTAAAGAAAAAATTATGTAACTCTTATATTAATATAAACTGATTTTTTTATTTATATATTCTTGTACTTTTAAGAAATGAGGATTTACCAATTTTTATTATCTTGATTCTTTTTTAAAGAGGGCCAATGTTAACATGTTTATGGATAGTTGGATACCCCATTATGAAGCCTTAGATATTGTTTATTAAAATGAAAAAAATTAAAGTTAATACATTTTTGCTCTGATAAACTAAAAGAATTTATGCTTAAATTACTTTGTGACAAATTAAATGCTATTTGCTTTGTGAAGGCTAATTGCTACTTTTAATTAATGAAAATTGATTTTTTCTTTTGGGTTCACATGTTTTTGCATAATAAATTAAATATATTTTTTATTTTTATAATCTTTGAAAAGATTGATTAGCATTGCCTGTGTAATAGCGATTCTTTATTTAATTTATTTAAATTAAAATTAAAAAAAGAGGTTTTATCAAGAAAAAAAGGAAAAAAAAATCCCAAAACCTTATATTGCAGTTCCGATCAAATGAATTCTAGCACAAGTCTGTTTACCTCTTCATTGTTATATAGAGGTTTTTTTCATAATTATTTTAATATTTATCTATCATCACTTGATCAATTACATTAATTGTTTTCAAGAGAAAAAAAAAATAAAAAACTAACAAAGCCAATGGTTAATTATTGCTCGAATTTGCCTATATATTACAGATGCATTGTTTTGTTGGATAATAATGAAGCCAATTCAAAATCTATGTTCTTTTTATAGAATAATAATAAAAGCCAATTCAGAATCTATGGTTGACAGCCGCAGCCTTGTTGTCAAAACCAGCGGCTTGATTTTTCAAATTGCAATCCTTGTTCTGCAAAAAAAAAAAAAAAAAAAAAAAAGAAAGTCAAGTCATTTGATATATTTTATACGTATGTTGTTAAGATTAAAGCTTCATTTTTCATAAAGTGATAATTAAATAAATTTTAAAAAAATTCAACACACTAAATTTATTATGATTTATTCTTAAGGTGAAAGTTTTATCCACTTTGCAATAGAATTTTTCACTACGATAAAAATACAAATCTTATCAACATATTTACTTTGCATAAAAATTTACGTTGAGATAATAATTAATTTCTGGGTAACTTAGTACATAAAACATTCTTTATTTCTCTTTAACAATAAGGAGATTCTTTAAAAAAAAAAAAAATTGGACCCTTCCAGATGTGCCCTAGATTTGCAACATGGTACCTTAGATCATATGATGACTTTATTATTGTTAAGGTTTTCAATCATTTAAGCATATAAATTTTAACTGTTTGTTGCAATAAATTCATGTTCAATTATTTATCGCAAACAATTAAATTCACGTTTAATATTGGTATTTATGTTGCTTTGAATTGAAAATTGTGGCCGGGTGTGGGACTCACAACAAATGAACGACAATCCTTATTTTATATTATTTGATTACGATGTAATAAAAAAAATTGTACATGAAAACTTTACTCCAAATTAAAAAATGGAATAAAATGAAAAAAAAATGTATATCTATCTATGATAATTAAAATTTCTTTAAATACATTTTAAAGCTCATTTAATTTTTAAAATAATGACCTTAATATCTTTTTATTTAAGAAAATATAATATTTTGAAGAAATAAATTTTTTGATACAAAAGAGTTTGCAATTTGAAAATATGAAAATAATTATATGTACTAAAATTTGAATTTTAAAATTATTAAATAATATTTTAAAATAATTATATTAATCTATTAAATTAAATTTTAAATTAAAAAATTTATTTTTTTCATTACTTTGATTGAGAATACAAAGAATAAATATCATATTGAAGTAGAAGTTAATTATAGTAAATTACAAAACTACTATTTTATTAGACAAAACTTATGTAAAATTATTTAAGTAAAATTTGTAAAGTTTTATTTTTTAAATTGATTTAATAAAAATTTTAATTAAAAATGCAAACCATAGATTAATATAATTAAATGTGAAGATTAATAATATAAAAATATTATTTATAATTTAAATTTATTCGATAAGATAAAATTTTTGTGAATATTTTTATTAAAAAGTTTATTTAATAAATATATTAAATTTTTTTTAAATTTTTTCAAAATTTACTTGATTAATTTATTTGAGAAGATCTTTTAATTTATCAATTTTAATTTTAATTTTTAATTTTTATTTACTTCCTAATAATAAAAAATTTCCCAAACTTTACATATGAATTTTAACGTAAGTCTTTTCCCTATTTCATTAATCCTTGCATTTTTCTCACACCTTACATATTATGTAATAGTAAACGTAGCTAAACATAAAGAGTGTTTCTTCCTGGAAGAAAAAAAAAAAAAGGGCTTTTCAAAAAAATAAAAGACAAAGAGAAGCACAAAATATTCGTTTCTCATTTTATTTTTACTTCACGTGATTGTGTCAGCTCAATAAATTTGTCAATTTTACTTGTCAACTTTTCTTTTAAACAAAAATTCTTCAAGATTGGCAACCACGCCCCTCTCCAGACACGCTTCTTTCTTCTTCCTCTCCTTCTTCTTTCAAACACACGCACAGGAAAACCCAGAGCCTTTTTTTTTTCTCTGCTTAAAACACCGGGTTTGTTCTTTCTAATTCAATCTCCATAAGTTTCCAAAATGGCTGGGAATTTAACTACAGGTTCGTCTCATTTTCTTGATTCAAAATATTCATCTTGAATTTATTTTAAATGTTGTGCCATTTTTTTTGTCTGGGTTTTGAGTTGGTTTTATACACCCAAGATCATTTCTCTCTGGGCTTTCATCTTTCTTTGATAATGGGTTTCTTCTCCTGTGATTGTTTTTTTTTTTGCTGTCAGTATTTGAGATGATAGTTCTTTTCTTTCATGTTTCAAAGTTTGTGCTTTATTTGTTATCAAATTCTATGTGGTATTTGGTAGAACCCATCTTTAACGAGAATCTTAGAATTTTTGCTTTGAGGTTGGATTTCTTTCAATTACAAAGATATATCTGATATGATGGTATTTTGATTGCTTTCTAAGTAAGTGATTTTAATCTAATTTGGTCAAAAATTTATTTCTTGATACTTACATGTTGGCTAAATCTCATGCTTTGTATAGCATACTAACTGTGTACTGGATCTGTATAGCCTGAATTGACAGTTCAAAAGATCAAGATCTTAGAGTAAAAAGGATTGCTTTTCAATTAGGATGAAGTGGGAATTGGATACATTTTCTCGTCAATCCCAATGGCATTTCTGATCTGTTTAGAAAGACATTACTTTAAATTTGTACTTCACAATGGATGGGCTAGTCTAATGTTTTCAAGTGAACAGATGGCTAGGACTAGGAGAGGCATATTGGCAGAGAGAGTTTCTATTTTTTTTTTTTTTCAGTTTGAACAATGTTATGAAACATCTGTGATATGGGGCAACTGCATATTGTAGGTGGAACTGAAGATCTTCCTGCTAATACAAACGGGAATTCTGCAAATAACAATTCACTAGTTGTTTGCTTTGGTGAATTATTGATCGACTTTGTACCAACTGTTGGGGGGGTTTCTCTGGCTGAAGCTCCTGCCTTCAAGAAGGCTCCTGGTGGTGCTCCAGCTAATGTGGCTGTTGGTGTATCCAGATTAGGGGGATCATCAGCTTTCATAGGCAAGGTAAATTCAAACATCAATCTTAACTCTGTAGCAGTCACCAGAATAATTCTATGATATTCTGTTTCTCTCTGTTAGATGAAATTTGCTTACCTTTCTACCTTTCTCTGTCTGTTATATTGGTGTAAACAAAAAGAACCACTTTTTACATGCTAACTCTCAACATCAATCTTCATAAACCCCCCAAATTTGTGGCAACAGAAATGTGATGTTTGTCAATAATGAAATTGAATTATTTTAATGTTTGTCTTTGAAACTAACTTCCGAAGCCATTGAATGATATGATTAAGAAATCTCTCTTTCTGCCAAAGTTGTCTGCTTTCAACCTTGTTCTGTTTTAAAACTAACCTATGTTTCTGAAATAAACTTTCTATAAACAATAGTGATTGAAGGATGCTGTCTCACAACTGAAAATTTGTAGCTCCAGCACTTATTGCTTTTTGTTGCAAATTGCAATCACCCGCTTTTCTTTGGATCATGAAATTATTGATGTCAATGAACATTGCTTCAATTTCCAAATACTTTGCAATTTTGTATCAGGTAGGTGAAGATGAATTTGGCTACATGTTGGCTGACATTTTAAAGCAAAACAATGTTGACAATTCTGGCATGCGATTTGACCGTAATGCAAGAACTGCATTGGCATTTGTTACACTCAGAGCTGATGGTGAACGTGAATTCTTGTTTTTCCGTCATCCAAGTGCTGATATGCGTCTTCATGAGTCAGAACTTGATATAAACCTCATTAAGCAGGTTTTTTATTCTGCATTTCTCATCTTTGTTCCAATTAGTACACATGAAAGATTGTTTAGCAGGATTTAGGAATTTTCTGATTTCCAAATAATATTAATTGCAGGCAAGGATATTTCATTATGGTTCTATTAGTTTGATTGAGGAACCGTGCAAGTCAGCTCACCTTGCAGCAATGAACATTGCTAAGAGGTCTGGCAGCATCCTCTCTTATGATCCAAATTTAAGATTGCCACTGTGGCCATCAGCAGAGGCTGCTCGGAAAGGCATAATGAGTATATGGGATCAAGCAGACCTTATTAAGGTATGAATTTGTGATTTCAAGACTCATACATGAAGTGTCTTGCTACTGCATTCATTTGCGGCTAACCTATGAAAACGCAGGTAAGCGAGGATGAAATTACATTCTTAACAGGAGGTGATGACCCTTATGATGATAATGTGGTGATGGAGAAGCTGTTTCATCCTAATCTTAAGCTTTTGGTTGTTACTGAGGGGTCAGCAGGTTGTAGATATTACACCAAGGTAAGATTATTGTCTATTTTACTTTTCCTTTACAAAAAAAAAAAAAAAACATTACTTGATGTTATGAATTTCACTAACTATTCTCACAATCCTATTAGCTCCTTATGGCTAGACTTTCTATCCTTGTCCAGTTCAAAACATCTGATGCACTTTTTTTGTGGAGCTATAAAATGAATAAAAAATTTTAATTGCTCCTTGACTTCATTGTATTTGCGAAGAAAATTTTACAGAGTTAATGCCCTCAACTGAAAATTCTATGGGTTCTATCATCAATGTGATTAAATTATCTAATGGTGGAGATGCATGATAGTCATTAGTCACTGCATGGAAGTAACTGTTATGATTTGCATAAAGAAACTTAGATCAACCTATATATCCTCTGCAGGCATTCAAGGGCAGGGTTCCTGGCATTAAAGTTAAACCTGTTGACACAACAGGTGCTGGTGATGCATTTGTCAGTGGCTTACTGAGCAGCCTAGCTTCTGATTTAAAGCTATTTCAGGTACCTATAGTTTTTACATACGTTAAGATGGCTCATTTATTGTATCTTCTTTCCTAATGGTTATTTATAAATTCCACTTTTAGTAATTTATATGAATCTCAACAGAATCTGATCATTAAAAAACACAGTTACCTGTGGAACAGTATTATTAGTGCAATTTAAATGATCTTTAAAGGGGAAGAGGGTGTTGAGGATTTGAGGTTCGCAGACCAATACTTTCCAGTGGTATTCACCTAAATCTAGTAGATTAGGTGATTGCAATTGTGCATTAGATCCTGAAGGACTTTTGCTTCATCTGCAAAATTTGTTTTATGTATTGCAGCAGTTAAACTAAAAAAGTTGTAAATATATTATGACTATACTTTATTCTAGAGTTACGATACCATAGTCTTGTCTGAAACATATATGTGAATTTGTCTTTTACAGGATGAGAAGCGGTTAAGAGAAGCTTTAATTTTTGCAAATGCCTGTGGAGCTATCACTGTAACAGAGAGAGGTGCAATTCCTGCTCTGCCCACAAAAAAGGCTGTTCTTGATGCCTTAACCAAATTTTATGCTTCATAGAAATTAGTAGAGATCCTAGTTGGTATACTTTGTTGTATTAAGCTCTTGTAGTTTGTCGTTTCCATGCTGAAGTTCAGAGGACAAATTGCTCATCATAGAACAAAATAGATTTGTAGGCTACAAATTTTCTTTAATCTGTTTGAGCTAATTTTGTTTATTCAAGTGTTATAGAAGTTTGATTCATTCAATAAAACTAGTTTTTCTGTTCCCAAACTATGATCTCTTTTGTATAAAAGAAAATTGAATAGTCTGGTTGTGAGGTTAGCTTCACATTGGAATGGATGATTGCTAATCCATCTTCACTTTAGCATTCAGCAATAAACTACGATAGAATAAGGCCATTTTCAACGGTGCAACACCGAATAATCCTTGTTTCAGTTTTCAGATCGAGCTATGGAACTCATCTCGGATTTCAGGAAACAGTCCAGGGGATTGAATTAAGTTCACTTATAGGGTTAGGGTCGAACCAAACATTGATATGTAGAGGTCCAGTCTCAGGGTGAGAGTTGATATAGATGATTTTAAGCCACGTGATTGCTTGGCTCAAGTGATAAGAATAGGATGGAATTTGAATAGAGATATTATGATCGCTTGGCCCAAGCCACCTGGAATTTTCTGCGTTCCGAAATCACATACAGTTGATGTCTTGTTCGTTCTGAAATCACCCTCAGTTCTAATTAGTGGAAATTCTTTGTTCTACACCAAAAATGAAGTTTGATTAATGAATTAAAATAAGCTATAAAGATCACTTTTTAAAAAGAAAATTCATTGAACTTTTTATATTGAAATTATTGAGAAAAAAAATGAAATTTATGAGATGGTAAATTTCCACATCAATACTCAATTCTAGTTCCATTGGCTATAATTTATTATGGCTATAATTTTTTCAATCTGTTGACTTTTTTAAACCTTTTCCATACGGTCTGCCCCCTACCTTTTTTTTTTTTTTTTGCTAAAAATCAACAAATATGTTAATACCCAAGCTTTTGCTTTAGCCGCGTTAAGTTTCGTGATTGACACTCAAATTTTATTTGACTTCAAACTTCAAACTTCAAACTTCAGTCCGAAATGATTTAATTTTTTATTGATCCAAAATATTCAACTCAAATTGACACAACCATTTGCGTAAACTCCAATTCTACGAACTCCTAATTTCAGAAGTTAAGAAACGCCCCAAATCAGACTGGGTTTTTATTTTTGAGCCAAAGGACAGATTTACCACGTGCTCGGCATGTGCCACTCCCCAATCGAAGGGCCTGCTTTATCCGGCCATTGAAAAATGATTTCCGCATTATCGGAGGGTCAAAGATGTTAACGATTAAGGTATTGAATGGATAAAATATTTTTTATTTATATTTTTAAAATTTTATATTATATTTATATTTATATTTATATTTAAAGAGTATTTTAAATTTAAATTTATTTTTATTTTTGTTAATATTTAATGAATATAAGTAATTTTTATTTCTATAATTCTTTTAAAAAATAAAAATAAAAATTTATTTTTTTAAATTTAAAAAAAATTATTTTACATATTTCTATAATTTTTAATAAATATAGTAATATATATATTTAAATAAAAATATATTAATTTTAATTAATTTAAAATAAAAATTTTATTTATTAAATATATATAAATATATATTGAATATAAATGGAGGTCGAATACTATATTTTTCATCCTTAATTTTATATTCAACAAAAAATTTAAAATCATACAAAATTTTTTCTTCCCAATATAATACGCATTCCCATAGTCTATCCAATAAAAAGTCGAATTTCCTATGAAGAAAATTCACACGAGGATATGCGCATCCTTGGACCGGACCACTGAACCGGTACGCCTGCCTCCCCAGCACTAAGGTATCGATTAGCCCCGTCGGTCCTCATTATCCCCTTTTTCCTTTTCATTAATAGGAAAAACTCAAGAATCGCTTACGATCAGAAACGAGGATAACGATAAACCCTCACGTTTTTTTTTCTCCATTTTCTGTCAATTGAAGAAAGCGAAACCAAAAAAGAAAAAAAAGAAAAAAAGACAACAATGCAATAGTTTCAGAAATGAAACGAATAGACTTCTTTTATGTAAAATCAGATCAGACGAATCGTAAGAAAGTTTTCCATTTTGATTTATAGTTTCGATTTCAATTCCAAACATAAGAAAAAGAAGAAAAATGGCCTCGAACCCTGCCCTGATGCCTGAGATCGGACCCGATGGACTCGCTAGGGAAGCTCCTGTCATAGCCTACACCGAGAAGGTCGATTCTCATTCTTCTCTTCTCTCTCTTTGTTTCATGTAAATGCTTTGGTCGAAATTTGATAGCGAATTAGTACTTTTTTTTTGCTGTGGCGACAGATAATCGAGGAAGAGCGGCTTCAGCTCAAGAAGTATGTTCACATTCTTAGTTCTAATTTTCTATTTTTACGTATGTGCATTATTTCATCATTTTTTTTCTCACTTGCCCGAGTTCAATTGTGGTAAACCTGGCCTACATGGATGATTCCCTTAAATGCTGGATTTTAATTCAATAGTTGTAAGGGAAGTCTTCTTCTAATCCAGCACCTGGTTATGTAGAAAAAGAGAAAGAGATAGATATCCGAGTTTTCTATAAATTGTTAGCCTTTAAGAATTAGTAGCTTAAAGCCTTAAACTGTAATTCACTATTTCAGATCAAGAGGGATGGGGGGGGGGGGGTGATGAGTGATAGTATATAAGATTTTCTTCAGAGTTTGGTACTACTTAAAACGAGAATTGAATCCTATATCTCAATTTGTTTTATCTTTATTGCTTCAATTAAGTTATTATCATTCAAATCTAAAACAGATTTCATTTGTGCTTAGTTTTGAACTCTGGCATTTTTTTTTCTTTAAATTTCATGAGTTGCTTTTACTAATTAATATTGAAAAACTTCAATTTGACTATCTTTTTTACTAAATTAAACAAGTGTTAGAAATTTTTTTTTTGTCTTTGAATTCAGGTCTTAAAATATTAAAATTTTGTTTGCATTTAATGGTTTAATTTTCCAGCGTGTAGCATTTACTTGTACAAAGGTTGAAAGAGGAGTATGCCTTATAAAGTTATTATTTCTCTTCTTTTATGTTCTTTGAGTTTGTTTCTCATGATTTCATTTGTTGAGGAATTTTGTCTGATCTCCTTTAATGCACACTTTCAGATACATAGAAGAAAATTATTCTAAAATTCGTGATGTTGAAAGAGAACTAGCAAATCTTACAATGGAGATTAAGCTCACTGCTGGACCTAAAAAAGCGGGTTGGTGTGTTGTTGCTATTATATGAAATATTTCTTCATTTATATGTATTTTTCTATAGTAGAGTGACTCCTCCATTTTATGTGTGGTGCATACCTTCAGCCCTTGAACATATGAGAAAGAAAATTGAAATGTCAACTGAGAGAATACGCATTGCTAAGCAGAAGGAAGAACAAGCACGAAAGGTTGTTGCATTCTCTCTCTCAAGTATAATTCAGCTTGTATCACGGCCTTGTATCTCATCTTTTCTTAATTGAAGTTGAGTTCTCTTTATTTTCTGACACTCTGCCTGCTTCGAAGGGACAGCAATACTAGTTTGATTAGGGACCTTATGGGCCAAATCATAAAATTTTAACATGAAAAAACTTTCTAACGAAAATGTTCGGATGGTAGTGAACCCATGTAAACCCATTTTATCTGAAATGAGGGAATTTGCATCTTAGTCTTCCTGCATGTGATTATAGGATTGCAGATTGAGATAGATTTTGAAACTTGCTTATACACTGATGGGTATGGTTGTATTTATTAAGGTTGAACTGGTTTTTTGGACTTGCGAGAGGCTATTGAATAATTTTTTAGTACTTTTACAATCCATTTTATCAGCAAGCAATTTGCCTCCTATCTTCAAATTGATAGCAGCTTTTTTATGCATATTTCAGATTTGGGAAGCAGCATTGAAAGCTCTGAAAGATGAGGAAGGAATTAAGCAGAAGTTATGTGAGGACTTAAACAATCTGGTACACTTCTTTGCTATAGGTGGATAAGCAGGACTTAATGGACTGTAATAATTTGATGCTTGTCGTTGATAGGTTCAAGAAAGCAGTAACACTCAGTTTGCTCGACTTGAGGAGTTGAAAAGGCGATTGGAAGCTCTGAACCCAAGTAGAGCATCAACTTTGTCACATCAGGTAAGCTTTCTTTCTATTTCACCTTATTATACTGCATGTAGCACCCAATAATTATACGGTCCTCCATGAGGAGAAGATAACTGCTTTACAACAGTCATTAGAATTGGCACATCACCTGATGAAAAAATGGTTCTCTTTTATTGTAAGTTCTTGTAATTTTCTTGTGCTAATCATTTTTCCATTCACTGTGTTATAAACTGGATTGATAAAGAGGCTTCATATTAAAATGGAAAAGATATTCATGTGTGTGCATGTCTACAAACTCAAGAGAACCTTTCCTGACCATTTAGTGTAGGCCTTGTTGATTCTTTGTTTTTAAGAATGCCTATATCAATTCTCTGATCTGCTCATGTTGAGCCAGGTTCATTTTGGAAATGGGCTATTCTTAAGAAGCCAAACTAAAGGGCCTGCTTACTAAAGGGCTACATTCTTTGGCAACATTTTTTGTGTTTCTTTTATATTGTCATGCTTGTGGATTATTACAAGTACTGGTATATGCGTGTAAATCATAGAAAGATTGTTGAAAGTTTGCACTTGGATAATGTTTAGGACATGAAAGCAATTGGATTCGCACAGGGTGCTCCAACTGTAGATGCTTCCTCAGCTTCACAAATAACAGAACCGGGCTCTACTGTTTCTGAAAATGTACCTAATCAAGGTAATGGTGGAAACGTTCTAGCTATGGATGGGCAGAATCAACTGCCCACAAATGATGCAGAAGTAAAAGGAAAGAAGAAAAGCCATTTTCAAGGAAGAGTAAAGGGGATTGGTGCCATGCCCAAGAGTAGAGGATCTGCAGCTCCTGGGTGGACAGGAGCAGGGTTTGATGTGGATGCTAGAACTTAGAAGCATCATTTCAGATATTCTCTTTTCTTTGCTGAAGGATCAGGGCAAATTAACAGTATTTGTTCATGTTCTGGGGTATCACTAGTATTTCTCCCCCATTATTTTCTTGATCTTTACCCTTTTATTTTTTTCAATTGCATATAGCTTGTTGATGTGAATGATGCCATTTGACCTTTCTTTCTTTTTCATTTCCAGTACTGATATATGTCATTAGTATTTTGTCTTAAAGCAAGGAATTATTTAGAAACTATCTCTTTAAACAATTAATAAAAATGGAAAATTTTCTCTCGCTTTGGTATCAAAAACTGGTCCTGGGGCCCCCCCTTGTTTAGGGAATGGGAAGTGGTGTTATTGGATGATATCTTGGTGGGAAACATTGGCAAGGAACAAGAAATTGGAACAAATAAAAAATTTGATGAGCTGACTTGAACAGCAACACTGCCTTGAAGAATTCTCTGCAAACTCTAGAGACGTGGCATTTATCTCCTTCAGAACTACGAGCTCATTTCATAAGGCGGCTGCTCGAGTTTCAATCATTCCAATTGAATTCTCTAATGGAGAAAATTCAAGTGATTCAGAGTTTTATCACCAATAGCCAATTGAGCAGTGCAGGGAATGAGCCTTCAGTATGAAGAACAGTCCTCATCCGTTGGTCTTCCAATCCACCCTAGGTTTGGACATTTTTTGTGAATGGAGTATCCAACAAGAAGCGGTCAAAGACACGTTCAAGGACAGTTCCAGCGGAAAGGGAAAAGATTCTCTCCGTTATGCTTCCCAAATCTTCATCTTCCATGACTAGATCAACAATCATTATTTGCTGCAGATAACAGACTCCAGGCTGCAACTCCTCAGCCTTCACTTGTTTGGAAACATGAATAATGTGCAAGGTCTGAGACGAAGGTTTGGGAAGAGAGTGTACACTGGAGCTGCTGCTAGCTGACTGCCGAGTTGCTGATTTCAAATTCAAAGTGGTCCTGAGTAGATATCAAATTTGTCCGGGTTTTGGTTTAAATTTTTCGATTTTAACAAGTTTATGGGCCAAAGCCAGATTTTTTTTTCAGGCCCGAGCCCATTGTTTAATTTTTAATTTTAGTTTTAGTTATATTACTTTTATCAAAATTCAATAATATACTAAATAATAATTAATTAAACATTACTCAAAAAATATATAATACAAAAAAAAAAAAAACAAAGGCTAAAAAATAAAAAAACAAAAGGGCCAGTGGTAGTTGTAATGGGTGTCATGCACCACACAATTGCCACCCTTTGCACTCGAGCCCTATGCACTTAACTGCATCTCACACCCAAACCCTTTGAGGCTCGTGCACCATGCCCATAACAGTCACCTACCCATACCTTACACCACCGTAGAGTCCTTGAACCTCCATTGTAACGTCACCAGCCTACCTAAAGCCCTGTAGCACTTACCCCCCGCACCGTGACCTAAATTCACTAACCTTCCTATTTAATAGCTAAAATCATGCTTTAGCGACCACCTACCTAGGCATAGGGCCACGATTGGAGCTTTATAAATTAAGCTTCGTGGTAGCAAACCAAAAAAGGGGAGACTTGAAAGCTAACCCAGATTTCTATCAAAAATAACCTTAAAACAGAGAGAGAGAGAGAGAGAGAGAGAGAGAGAAAATCCTACAAAAGAAAAGAGCTTTTGCAAAAAAAAAAAAAAAATCATTGCAAAAAAAAAAGGTAAGAAATAAACATGAAACAAAAAAAAAGAAAAACAAAGAACAGTCCTTTTGGTGAGGGAACCTAGCTTCAGATTCAACAAAAGGAAATCAAAATCCATAAAAAAAAAAATTTTTGGCCGAAAGTTGAAAAATAAATTTAGATCGTTTGGAACTCTTTTTTGTAAAAAAGGGATCAAATCTATAAAGAAGAAGGCGGAATGTGTGTTTCATTTTTTTTTTTTTTATGTTTTTCAATCATCAGCTCCAATTGATGATGATGATTGGCACAATAAAACGGCGACTGATTTTTTGCAATCGGTCAATTCTTGATTTTTTTGGGTTCAGAGTATTTTTGGCTTTTTTTAAGAAATGAGAAAAATGAACAATTTTTTTTGAGCTTTTATATAGGTAGCTAGGGGTCAAAACGACATCGTTTTGAACCCCTAAGATCCGCGTGCTAATCCGCAACCTGACTCGAGGTCCATGTGCCCTGACCTGATTACTCGCCTTAGCACCTAGCCTAAGTTGGTCCAAACGAACTGCCAGTGAATTGGTTTCGAACCAATCTAAACCGGCCAGAACCTCATGATCTGCCTCAGACCGCCATAAAAATCTGCTCAAACTAGGTGAACCAGCTAGAACTGTTGACCGATTCGACTTTGGTAAAAAAATATTTTTTTCTTTTTTTTTTTAAAATTTTTTATTTATTTGATATATATTATTTTTGTTATTTTGAGTTTTATTATTAATATTTATGCATGTTAAAATTTTTAAATTTGTTAAAATAAGTATTTGTTGTTTTTAATAATAATAATTAATAAAAATGAAAACAAAAAGATAAACAAAAATAAATAATCAAATATATAGTTGAATTTGTTGATAAAATTATAAAATAGTAATATAACATTAACAAATATAATACTACTAACAATAATAAAAATGAAAATGATTTCTAAATTTGATTTTTTTTTAAATTTTAAAAAATAAAAAAATTAATAAAATTAATAAAAAATGTAAGAAAATGAAATTTTTATCCAACGATGAGATTCGAAGGTACTTCGAGTAACGATATCTTGGAAATTTTTAGGTGAAGATTTTTTTTTTAAATACTATCAATGTATTGGAGTATTTATAAAAAAGATTTCAAAATAATAAAAAAAAATTTTTTACTATAAAATAGTAAATAAAAATAAAATGATAATAAAAAACGAGGAAAAAAAAATTTTATTCAATGACGGGATTCTAAAAGTATTTCTAGTAGTGATGCTTTACGAAATTCCTAGGTGAGAAGATTTTTTTAAAATATTATCAATGTATTGAAGTATTTATAAAAATTTTCAATATGATAAAAATTTCTCTTTTCTTCAAAAATTTAAATAATAAAAATAAAAAAAAGTTTCTAAAAACAAAATAAAATATGTGCATCAACATATTATCATTTGCATTGCATGTATGATAGTTTTTTTATGAAAATAAATCCGAGCCTTCGAGGATAGAATTCTAAGGTATTCCGAAAAATGATGCCTAAGAAATTTTTAGGTGAAAAAAAGTTCTTCTAATGTTACCAATGTACTAAAATATTTTAAAATTTATTTCAATAAAAGGGTTCCAATTTATTTTTTTTGAATAAAACAAAATAACAAAAAATAAGGAATAATAATAATACGAAATCAAGATTTCGATAAATAACAAAAATCAAGGAAATTATTTTCAAACACTAAAACTAAGAATGTTTTTGTCAAAATCAAAGGATAACATGTATTTAATTAGTACCATTTTAAACGAGCACTGTAAGGTGCTAACATTTTCTCACGCATAATTGACTCCCGGATCTAAATTATTTTGCAAACTCTAAAATTATCTTTTTAATAAATTTTAATTAATTTTAAAATTTCATTAAAATGATATGTTTTAATAGGTGGCCCATTACACCTAGCCAAAAAAGATTAGTGACGACTTCGTTTTTTTCATTTTTATTTTCGTTTCCAAATTTATCGAGCGTTTCCAAAACCGTTACGATAATTTGGTGACTCCACTGGGGTCACCATTTTTTCGAGAGTCAGGCCAAAATTAACTATGTTTTTATCCTTAATTTTTCTTTAAATAGTCTTAATTGATATTTAATTTTAAGTTCGTAGATTTTAATTCTTTTTTTCAATAAAAAAACCAATCAAAAAATAAATAAAAAACAAATAAAAAAAGATTTCAAGTGTATTTTTTATGTTTTTTGTACATTTATTGTTTTATTTTTCTCAATAAATCAAGAAACATTTACACAAGCAATGACATGGTGCACCTCATACATAAGCTCTATACCGGGGCTCTATTCCATATAGGAAGAAGTAAAGTACCTATGCCTCGTGAGGGGATAATCTCCATAATGGCAAGTGAAATACTTTCACTCAAATTGAACCATTTCCATTCGTAGCCTGTAATGGGTGAGGATCAGGGTACTTTACTAGTCCAACATGAACAATAGTGAGAAACAATATGGGAATCTTTAGAAGTGTGTCAATCTAAACCAAACATGTAATAAGCTGTAGGAAACCAACCTTAAGTAGAGCTTCGCCCACCCTTTTCTAGAAAATACCTAAGTCCAAAACGTGTAGGAAAAACAAAACAAAGCAAAATAAAACAATAAAATTAAAATTAAAAAAAAATTAAAAAACAAAACAAAAAAAACTTTTATTTAAATCTCAAACCACATCCTTACACTAACTTAATTTTGTTTTCTTTTTTTTTTTTTACATAAATCATATCATATAGTTTTGTATCAAGGTATTTGTCCCAAGAAGTTCTTCATGGATCTCGTAGAACTATAGATTTGTTCATCTTTCGTTAATGTTCTATGTGAACCATACAATGAAGTGTATGTTTGGTCGAATGAAGCCCAGCAAAAGAATGAAGATTGCTTACCTATCGGTTATGTGTCCAACCTACCCGAAAAGGTGCATTTGGATCTCACACAGAATAATTTAAAAGAATTAGCCATCGTCTAGGGTCAGTTAAGTGAAGAAAGAAAATTTTTTTTTGTAAAAAGTATGAGCAGATTGCATCCCTCATTCTAGCGGTGATCGAGGAACAGTTGATCAGGACAGCTATAGAATTTTAGGACTCATTCTATAGATGCTTTACTTTTAATCAAAAAGATTTAGTGCCCATTATTGAGGAGTATTCAGTTTTGATTATGATAGAACTATAGTGTCTGGATAAAGTGTTTGCCCAAAAATCGAAATTAGGTTATCGTAAAAAGTTAGCCAAGCTTATGATGGTTAAAGTCAAAATCATAGGTTCTTTCGCAAAGCCTAAAGGTGAACATCTTGGTATCCGTTGGGACTTTTTTTAAAAGTTTATTCAAGGGCATTTAAATGATGATCAAGACATGAGTGTATTTGCTTTGACATTATATGACATGGTGATCTTTCCAAAGACTTTAGGTTACATCGAGATAATTATGGTGAACTTTTTTGAGGAAATTGAAACCCAAACAATTAATCCTGCACCAATAACCCTAGTCAAAACTATCAGGTCATTGAATTTCTATTGATGGAATGAAAAAAAAATGATTCTAAAGTGTGCACCGCTATTGTATGTGTAAGTCAGAAGTAATTTCAAGTGTGAGAAAATGCATTCTCAAAGTCGTATCTTTAAAATAAGGTACCAATCGAAGAGTTTTACAACAACCAATGGCTAACATTGAAGACTAAAGAACAATGAGTTTTATTCTTCGAAGGCTTACCGAGGATGAAACAGAATGAATGACGCCATGGATGCCCCGCGTGCTTATATTATATCAAGGAGGAAATGAACCATGGATACCACTATTAGGATAATGGGGTGTGGTAAATTACACTCCGTTGATGGTATTGAGGCAATTTGGTGCAAAGTAGTTTGTTCTTGCCACTTAGAATTCACTTACGGGGAGTCCAATCCACTGAAAATATCGAAGCAGCTAATCCAAGCATAGAAAAAAATGTGAAGAATGAGATTAGGGCATCTTTTTAACAAAGTCACTCATAATTATCAGATTTTGAGAGTAAAATGACTTAGAGACATGGTGCTCCTTCTTGATGATAGCCCATATCAATAAGCTAATCTTTTGATGAAAGTACAATTATTAGAAGTCAAGCTCGTTAGAAAGAAATTGAAAGGTGAAAAGGAAGAAATAAGAAAAGAAAATTTGAGACTTTATGAAAAGATGAGATAGTTGAAATATGAAGCAGAAGTACAAAATAGTAGATTGGAGAAAGTCATAAAAGAACAAGATATGGCCAACAATGATTTGAAAGATTTGCATCAAGAAA